TGCGCTCTGTAAAAATTTATCTAAGTTGTCATTTTGTACTATTGGCCTCATGGCCACATCTATGAAATAAACCTGTCTGTCTGTCTGTCTGTCTGTCTGTCTGTCTGAAATAACACCCAACGATGTAAAGATCTGCATCGTTCTTGCAGACCACGCAAGACACCAGCCTGACAAGACGCAGCCCTACTTAGACTTGTTTGGAGACTTCTGTGGGCACCAAGTCCAATGTTACAACAGGAATGGCTTCCACCTCTGTCATAAAACTGTCAGAAATCAACTGAAAACAGCACTCTACAAGGCCAGGAGACCTGTCCGACGATCTTTGTTGACAAGTGCCCACATGGATACAAGATTACCGTGGTGCCGTGAACGACGTCGGTGGAACCTGGCTGCTTGAAGGAAGATCCATTTTTCAGACGATAGACGGTTTTTGCTGTTTGTTACTGACGGATGGACGTGTGTATGACGACAGTGGACCATGGCATATGCTCAAAGGAACACCATGGAAGACGTTCCATTCGGCGGAGGATCCTTGATGGTGTGGGGCAGTGTGTCGTATGACGGCAAACTTCAGCTTGTCACAGTGTGAGGAAATCTGAATGGACAAACATATCAAGAGGAAATCTTGAGTAGGTATCTTTTGCCTCATTTTGATAATCATCCCCTATTAACAAGGTCAATCTTTATGGATGACAACGCCAGGCAACATCGCGCACGCGCAGTCATTGATTTCCTGCATCGAGACGCCATTACCACCCTTCCATGGCCAGCCAGAAGCCAGAAGCCATGTCTGGGACATTCTGGGGTGTAAGGTTCGATCAGAGAGATCCGCCAGTCCGTAGACATTGCACCAAACATGGAATAGGTTGCCCCAACATCGGATTCAGCGTCCTGTGCACTCATTGAGGACGAGGGTGTATAAAGTCATCCAGGTGGGCAGAGGTTACACAAGATACTGACTGTGTCTTCCGTTTCTGAAACTAGAGACCGTATTTTTGGATTGGGTGTATGAATTAGGACTATGCATCGTGTTACCCGTTTGGGATGACAATACGTTTATTAACACATTATGTTATCTTAATTTCAGTTTTATTACAGGACCCATGCCTAATCAAATTATACCATTCATATTCTCTATTGTTGGATTTAGTGTTAGTGGAAAGTCCTTTTAGCGCTTCGGCTACCAAATAATATCCCGTGAAGACGCATATGGCATCTAAACTGGGATTAAATATAGGCCCTGTCATAAAACTTGGGTGTTGCGATACTTTTGCCCACTGTATACATTGGGTATGAGAGGATCCACACAGAGAGGCAGACTGGCAATAAAGCAAGTAACTCTACTAAGTCGCCACCAGTCCACCAATGTCCCAATCCACATGGTGACAGCAGTTTCTTCCAGGTATACGTTGTCACACAAAGTACCTGTGAACTCGTCCTATGTCACTTCGACCTGCTAACCTCTTGCATGGCTCCTATCGATTACCCGTCATTACATAACGATATCCCTACAACGTTATTATGAGTCATCCTGGAGACACGTGTACACAGGTATATCCATGGTGAGTAATACAAGTGCTATAATCAAGTCTGGAATGAGATTACCATGTTGCACATATCTCTATGCAGACGCTTGGTCTGAATATATATTCTCCCAAAAAAGAAACGCATCATGAAAATAGCAATTTCATGTAGCAATGAATTAAAACGTGAGTCATTTTACAAAATGTTTTGCTCTGTTATGAGTCCTATGGTGTTTATGTTTTGAAACATCAAAACGCACCATCCGAAAATATACCGTATTTAACAGCATGAGTTTCAATTTCGGCGTGTAGTGTCACAGAATACACAATTCACATGCAATGCACGTGAAAGTTGGGGATCAGATAGTCTCAATGATGGGTATAAAAGGTTGATCGCTGTCTGTCGATTATTCACTGTATTTGGAATATTGTTGACGAACGCAAAATGCCACGTCTAAGTGAAGCCAACCGTCATATCGCCATTGGTTTGCTTGAAGCTGGCCAATCTCAACGTGCAGTTGCCCAACGCATGAATGTTCACCAAAGCACCATTTCACGGCTCTGGGAGAGATATCACCGGCAGAATGCGGTAGCAGATGCCCCTCGTAGTGGGCGACCTCGAGCGACCACTGCGGCGCAGGATCGCTACATCCGGGTACATCACCTGCGTCATCGAACAGCTACGGCGACCAGTACCGCTCGACAAATACCCGGATTGAGGAGGCTTTCTGCACAGACCGTCAGGTGAACAGATTCGGCCGGGGCATTGTTATGATGTGGGGAGCGATCACCTGCCGTAGGAGAAGTGATTTGGTGATGATCCAGGGCAACCTGACAGCTCAACGGTACTGTGACGAAATCCTACGCCCACACCTCCTTCCAATCATTGATCGCCAGAGGGAGTTGTTTCAACAGGACAATGCCAGGCCCCACACAGCACGTTACACTAGAGACTTCCTCCAGAACCACAACATCAATGCGCTCCCCTGGCCCTCAAGATCACCGGACTTAAACCCGATCGAACATCTGGTGGGATGCCCTGGACAGACGGGTGCGACGCCGTAACCCTCAGCCCCAGACACTTCAGCAACTCGCACAGGCACTACAGGCAGAGTGGGCTGCAATTGGGCAACACGAGATTCTGAGACTTATTCGTTCAATGCCGAGGCGATGCCGTGCAGTTCTGGATGCCCACGGCGGTCACAGGAGGAGGTATTGACTTCAGCGCCACCACACGTCTCCATGTGACACTCAAACTGACTTTCCTCGAGTTGGTGCCAAAGACGGATAACTCTGCATTCCCAGTGTGCAATTTCGCTATATTTCATTGACTCATAAAGCCTATAAGATGTTTCAAAATAAACATAAAAATACAGTTGAAATTCCTATTTGCGTTTCTTTTTTTGGGAGAGTATATATAATTTTGATAGTAACAAATAAACCCATTTAAATTGAAAGGAGCCCCAGTAAGACGTGAGCCTGAACCTCAGGAAATCTAGACTTGCTTCATTTAGAGCTTTAGCATTGCAGGAGGGCTAGGCAGTAGGGAAAATAATGTGGTTCAGGGACTCTGAGACAGACTGATATCTCTTTAGCGAGTGACTTGCAAGAGCTACGGGTGCTGTTTGATTTGTTCTTAGGCATGCACAATTAGCGATAAAACCTATACTCGGAGAATAGCTAGAGAGGCATTTGATGTAACGTCGGTGTGATCTTGATTTTGGTGACAAATATCAGTTACTGTCCGTTAATTACTGCAGGAGAGCAATAGGTTAAGAAGGACTTATATTACACCTCTTGGTGCATCCAACCAAACAGGTCTGAATATCTTAATAATTATAATAAAAAACACTCTTTAAAGTCTGTAAGAAATCTCTGCCCAGAATATACAAACTTTATGGATAAACAACTTCTTTATTCGGTAGATGCGACGTTTCGATACAGATTCTTGTATCGTTGTCAAGCAAGTATGACATTTGCATTCTTCCAGAAATTCGGAAGATAGATCTGAAATTATATCTCTGCTCACCACCTTCTACGAACAAATGCCACATGAATCAAGGATTCAGGTTTTCCTCAAGTTAGTCGTATGGGATAGTGTATACAAATGTTTTAACAGAACTCGACTCAGTTCTCCGTTCAACCTGTTTCTGAAATTGTAAAGATTTCAGCAAATCTTTTGAGTTATTGAGAAACCAAATGGTATCAAATCCAGTTGTCTCAAATGCTTCCAGTGATTATATAGAAAGTCCTTTCTTGGTAGTACCAAGGACTATTGTTACTCTGTGAGTCAGGGATTGCGTTTATCAGATCACGGTAAAGCTCACACAATATTTTCTCTGACCAACACACAGTGTACACAAAACATATTAAACTATAATTTAGGTTCCGCTGCAATGAATTGAGCTGAGATGTTACGCAAATATGTAAAAGTACATACTAAAACGTTATTTGCTGCTCAACACCGAGAAACATAAGCGCTTTGAAAAGCTTAATACTTAGACTGGTGATCTGAGGAGACAAGCACAACAGTACTGCTGTGATATCGCAATGCGATTGTGGGGTACTAGGACTTACATAGACAAACATCTAGTCTCTGAAATGAACATATTTTACAGAAAAAACAGTTCCTAAATTATAATCATAAAATATAATGAAAAGGAGCCCAGAGATTTCTTAATTGTCTGTGGAAATCTAGACCTGCCACATATTTTAGACTTGCATAGGCTTTCTTGGATATGTTTGTTTCAGGGTCTGTATGACAGACTAAAAGGGTACTCGCGAAAATAGAAATAAAATGGTTGGCGTCTATTTGTTTATTACTTCATTAAAATAGGTCGTTGTACAAATATTAAAATAACTATGTTTTTCCCAACTAGGCCTTTTAATTTGATCCTCTAATCATCATCCAAAATACCATTTATACGCAAAATATCAACAAAACATGTCATAACTTACGTCATAATTATTTCGTTTATCAATTACGATAAAGAAAGAAAATATGAATGGTATATGAACTTTTATCATAAAATATATTATATACGCTTGAACCTATGGAGTAAGTACATCTCATTTGCATACGATAGCTTGCATCAGAAATTTCATAAATGACACGATTTAAGTTGGGAAAAACGAAAGTCATAGAATATTTAGCAAACAAACTTTAGTTGTGTTCAAAACTACGAATTAAACGCCCACCCCGACCCCACCCCACCCACCCCGCACACACACTTTTATGTCTATTTCCGTGAGTACTTGAGGACTTACACACGTCGTTGAAGGGTGTGCCATGATGAAGTTGAGACCCACTAACCTCACTCATCTACTACATGCCACATAACAAAGAACAGATGCGACAAATAGTCTTGTCATAGTGACATACGAAACTATGTATTCAATATCCATTAATCACGAACATTCGCTATTATATAAGTTGTCGTCTGATGACCTTGTGCTTTTGAGAAATCTGTTTGAGGTCAAGCGTTAATGGACACGTGTGCATAATCACCATATAAAAATCTTAGGGTCCATATGCAGGTTGATGTGGCGGACTACAGATTTATATAATGTGTAGTCAGTTATATTCAAAACCATTTACTCGTGATTCATGAAGCGTCCACATACACCATGCTGATGCTTATCGTCTCCACAGCTCTACTCCTGGCTGGACACAGTCAGCAGATGCCTTGGGAAGAAGGTGAGTTAAAGCTGTTTCCGTAAAGTTACTTGTATTACTTGAATATCAGATATGAGTTCCTTACCGTATGTTTCAGTTTTAGTTTTAGTTTTGAGATGTGTGGCATGCCAGAAGGTACCCTAACATCGGGTTTCAGTAGAAGTGTCACACTGGCCACCCTTCTGTTAAAATATTACTTTTGTGATGTACTGATATATCGGTTCGTTAAAAATCACAGACAGTATTAATCCATCAGTAAGGGGACTTTTGACTTTTGCCGTCTGCCTAATGACTATGTTCAGATTACCTCCCCAGTGATCCTACTTATCGCTGATATCACTATTCAGGGGCGGATCTAGAGGAGGGGTTCGGGGTGCGTACCTCCCAACTCTCCCCAATATTTTCCCCTGAGGAGCACCCCATCCCCACCCTGTCCCAAATCCTGGATCCGCCCCTGCTGTTCTAGTATTTTTATCAACCAATTCATACCAATAATGCATCGGTGAATAGTTTCTTTAAACTTGTCAAATGTATGAAGAAGAAAGTATGTAATGATGCTGTCAACCCCCTGAAATGCCTTTCGGTTTTTCCCTTGTTTGTTAAATGAAAAATATCAATATATGAAAGAAACAATGGTGCCCATGACACATCAGTCAGATTTCGTCACAGAGCTTTACCTGTTGCTAAACGCTGGGCCCCGTTCTTCAAAGCGATCGTAGCGCTACGACAGTCGTAAGTGTATGTTAAAAGTATGGGAGTTACGATCACCTTAGCGCTACGACAGTCGTAAGTGTATGTTAAAAGTATGGGAGTTACGATCATCTTAGCGCTACGACAGTCGTAAGTCTATGTTAAAGTATGGGAGTTACGATCATCTTAGCGCTACGACAGTCGTAAGTCTAGGTTAAAAGTATGGGAGTTACGATCACCTTAGCGCTACGATTGCTTTGAGGAACGGGGCCTTGGACAGTTAGCACTATACTATAGTTACACATGCGCCCGATGTGGTCCATCCTTCCATTATGTTCGCATCATGGCAATTGTTTTACCACGTTGATTAAGGTGTAGTGCAACCAAGTCTTAAAGCACCCCATGCCATGGCTAGAAGTTGCTGCAGTGTGCTGACAACAGCTAGACAACGTTTACTCACAATACACAGACATTTGTCTATTCCTTGCCATGAGATATTTAGCCTGTGAATACCCGTAAAGATCCGGGTTAGAATATTGATCGTCAGTAACCCATGCTTGTCGTAAGAGGCAACTAACGGGTGGTCAGGCTCGCTGAGTTGGTTGACACATGTCATCGGTTCCCAATTGCGCAGATCGATGCTCATGCTGTTTATCACTGGATTGTCTGGTCCAGACTCGATTATTTTACAGACCGCCGCCATATAGCTGGAATATTGCTGAGTGCGGCGTAAAAACTAAACTCACCCACTCTTGCCTGTGAAAATTCTGGCGAACTTCCATATTACATGCGACATCGCGTTGTTTCACTGGAACATGAATGGATCTGTGCGATACTAAGTGACAACCTTATATGTTTTCTTTCTAGTACTCTAACACTGTTCATATTGATACGTGTGCTAGGTGAAGTTGTGGAGGTCAGTGATTCTGCTGGGTAAACGACACTGAAAACATCCGTTTTAATCGTGAAGACCATCTGTTTCTTCTTCATACAGATTGCAACCTCAAACCAGAAGGCGGACATTGCAAAAGGGCACTTGCTCGGTTTTTCTACGACCCTGACACCGGAACATGTAAAGAGTTCTCCTACGGTGGCTGTGGTGGCAACGCCAACAACTTCAAGACCAAAGCCGAGTGCGAGGAAACATGTGTTCCAGGTTATATATACAGAATACTTGATTACGTTTTATTGAAATCATGTCTGGATGTATGATATAAAACATGGCCGACATTTCCCCAGACGAGTGTCGGAGACGGCTCCGATGTACTGCAATCGCTGAGTCGGAATCAGCTCCGACTTCTTGATGTTGCCTTTGTCATATTGTCACTGCTAAAATGTGTTCTAGCGGTAGCGTACCTGCCATTAGGCACTTTAGGCACGTGCCTACACTTAATATTTAAATAAATTTAAATGGGCCAAAAGCCAGCCAGACATCAGGGCTGGTAATTTCAAATGTTACCAGCCCAAAATGAAACATTTAAAATTTTCACCAGACAATTGAGCTGGCTAGCTGTAAATTTAGACCGTCCGTGAGAAATCTAGCCCGTCTCGGGGCGATCGGACAGGCTGCGTATTTCATACACTGGCATCAAGCGGGAGAGATCAGCTTCAGTGCAATGAGGAGGATCAAGACGTACCTTCGGTCCACCATGGGCTGACTGACTGAGTGTAGTTTTACGCCGCTTTTAGCAATATTCCAGCAATATCACGGCGGGGACACCAGAAATGGGCTTCACATTGTGCCCATGTGGGGAATCGAACCGGGTCTTCGGCGTGACGAGCCAACGCTTTAAACCGCTAGGCTACCCCACCGCCCGGTCCACCATGGGTGATGTCGTATGTCACCACTTGCGCTTTATCCATGTGCACAGAGACAAGTCAGAGCAATTTGCTGCTTAGAAGACGAGTCGCGTGGATTTCATTTAAGACTCTACTGCAACGTGCTGACAGCAATATTACTCCCCAGAATACAGATTTTCTTTTCTTATTGACTCACATTTTTGTCATTTTGTTCAAAAATATATTTTCATAGGAAGTTACTGAAATTGAACTGATAAATTTAGTATTCTAACAAATATTTTACGACATAGTCCTTCAGCAAAAGTCATTATTCTATTTGGCCATAAAATGTTATGTACCAGCTGATTTACTTTTTATCAACTACTTACCATGCATTTTCTCTTGTGTGTGGTATGTGTGTTGGGGTAATGGGGGTAACAAAAGCCAGTATACAATTTATATGCATATAGAAAAGTCTGTGGACTAGTGCTGATTATATCCGCTGAAACCAATTGTTGGATGTAGTGTTGTGAATACATATTGAATGCTAGCTCCTGATTCATTTTATACATAAACATAATTTTATGAAAAGTTTGAAATACGCTTTTTCAGGAAAATATAGCAGGAAATGCTGTCTAGAGCAACCATTTTATATAAAAAAACTCTCCCCTGAAGTCTCGCACGTCCAGGTGTGCTTACACTTCACATCTTTCCTGGGTACGCCCCTGTCTAGGTTGTGCTGTGCAAGGGGTTTCCTGGCCGTGGTTTTCAGGATAAGGTGCTTTACGAGATCCATTTAAACAAATCTTAGGAGTCACTTTGTTTTTTCTTCATTTAGATTACGCACGAACAGTCGGAAAATGAAGCATCTTTCGTTCCTCGGTTCTGACCCGAAAAGTGTGAGGAGACCATTTTCAGCGGTGGTGGCGTAGTGGCAACGCTGACAACTTCAAGACCTTTGCAGATTGTGGCAATTGATGTTACCATAACCGAATAAAATAGTGATATCCGATAGGGCTCTCCTGTAGTGTTTATCATGTATGATAGCTTGTCTGTATACTGTGTCCCACCCAACATTGTAGGAAGCCCAAGCAACGTAGGACATAGATTGTAGGTACGAACATCTTAACATTTGTTTGTTTGCTTTTGTTTACCTCTATGACAGCGGTCTGCATATAATCGACACTGGACCAGACAATCCAGTGATTGACGTCACCAGCATTGATCTACGCAATTTGGATACGCTGACATCAACGCTGACATCAACCTAGTCAGCAAGGCTGGCCGAAGAGCGAGCCGATGTATAGCTTAAGAAACGAACATTGTTTAATAGATGACGGTAGAACTTACAGGAGAGAGTGTGGTTTTACACCGCTTAACAATATTCCAGCAATATCACAGCAGGGGGACACCAGAAATAGGCTTCACGTTGTACCCATGTGGGGAATCAAACCCAGGGTCTACTGGCAGCTGACGAGCGAACGCTTTTAACCACTCGGCTACCCACCGCCCATGTAGAGCTTACACATTATATGCAGCGTATATATAAGTTCATGTACTCAAACATGCCTGTTGGATTTTAAAAGTGATTCTAGTTCAGCTGCAATTAACCTCGTAGAGGTGCCACACACAAACACAGTATCGCTGATGCCCCAGACTGTGTGACATGCAGATCAATATGTGATATACGTAGGAGATATTCAGAACTGCACGCACGGTCCAAATTAATATAATATAGATTATCCTTGTTTATCGTGTTACCTCACTACAGCCCCGATTATAGTGAGGCGAACGCGAATTTATTGGCCCCGTCAATGACGGAACAAATGAAAACGGAATAACACCTTGCGTCGCGTAATGGTGGGCTGACATTTTACAATGTGGTGATGGCGACTATAGGCAACAGCTGACATGCGAATGGTAACAGTCTGAGTCAGAGCCATAACTGTTATCGTGTCTTGTTCATCAATTGCACGTAGGCATACGCATTAACCCTTATTCCAGTATTGTCGAGCCGAAGCGCTAAACGACGATTTACAGTCTATCCGTGTGAGTTTTCGATGATTTCTCAAAATGAAATCTTGATATGTTTGAACAATTCTGATTCGGTGTTTGTAGAGGTGCATGTTCTTACCAGGTTTTAAAGTTTCCTGCTCTACCTTCTAGAAACAAACTTTTGGATGCCTTCAAGCGACATGAATTAAGGGTCTCCAATTTATCATACGCCCATCCCCACTTAAAACACGCCTATCTTCCTTCACTAAAGAAATGTTCCATTTGGCTATATATTACTACGTTAGCAATGCGCCATATTTTAATGGAGTTATTTTGTTAACAAATCCGGCATGTTAAATTCGATAAAGTTTAGCAAAATCTGAGAATTAGAACCATTTTGATATGTAGCCCTCAACAAAATTGTTCTTTTTGTTAATCAATAAATTTAGAAGTACAGTAAACGGTAGTAAATGGGGCTGTGTATTGGCATATAAATTGTATTGCAATATATGGCGATGCGATGTTTGCTGACTTACAGTGTGAGCCTAAGTGTTTGACAATTGAGTGACAGCGATTGGCACATACAGAACTTCTATTTCTACACATAAAGACATAAAATACTTAATGTTTAGTGTTAACTTGAAATTTTGGTTTAGATTTGATTTTGAGGGTTGTATTTTCTTTTAAATGTATTGTTATGTAAAATCAAGTAATTACGGTGGAAAATTTCGAGTAGGAATGAAGGTCTATTCAAATTTTAACAAACATAGAAATAATCACAAAATTTCATACTGTACCCAATGTATTGCAGTTCTGAGGAAAAACCCATTTACCAATACCTTATCGTTTAGAGAGACAGGGTGGGAATTATAGAAGCAACACAGTTTTGGAGTGTAAGCTGGGCGGTGGGAAAGAGACTAGACAGAGATTAAAATGGAAAGTAGTCCACTGAGAGGACGAATAGTCCCTAAAGGTGTAGCAGTTAGTGATCTAAATATCGAAGAGTGTCCTTAAAGAAGAGTTCTTGTTTGTTCATCCAGTTCCATGGAGTCAAACATGACATACACGTCTACGCCACACGTGTCCAGGATGGAGAGCCACA